CAGAAAACACTGTTAATAAAATATTTCCCATGATGCTTGGTGTTAGCGCGGGGCTGGGGGTAAAAAATGGCACGGGGGCACATGTGAGGCTGGCTGAGGGGGCACATTGGCCGTCTCGGACGAAAATCGGTGAGCGGGTTTTTAATCGGTATGCGCGGCAAAAATTTTGCGATTAAAGTAAGCGGTATGCGAAATAATCGCTATGTGATGCCATCGTTATGCGGGGGTCCACTGTATTATATTATATCGGATCATTATTTAGTTGTAGCTACAGTTAGAGTAAGAGGTAGATGGGAAAAGAGGAAGGTGGCAACAACAAGTAAGAGGGAGGTGAAAGTGTATAAACTAAGGGAAGAGGAAGTTCGGGTGAGATATAAGCGACTATTGGCAGAAAGGTGGGGTAGTGCAAAGATGAGTAGTGGGGGGGATGAAGAAGGTTGGAATAGTTTTAAAAATGCAGTATTAGAATGTGGGGCAGAAGCTTGTGGTTATAGGAGGGTGGGGGCAGGAGGAAAGAGGAGTGATTGGTGGAATGATGAAGTAAAGAGTGTGATAAAAGAGAAAAAGGTAGCTTATGAGAGGTTTTTACAAAGCAGAAGTGTTATAAGAAGAGCAGAGTATATGGAGAGTAAAAGAAAGGTGAAGAGAGTGGTGAGAGAGTGCAAAAGGAGAGCAGATGATAGAGTGGGAGAGACACTGTCAAGAAATTTTAATGAAAATAAGAAAAAAATTTTGGAGTGAGTTAAACAAGTTAAGAAAGCCTAGGGAAAGTAGGGATTTGTCAGTTAAAAACAGAGTAGGGGAGTTAGTAGATGGGGAGAGGGAGGTATTAGGTAGATGGCAAGAATATTTTGAGGAACTTTTAAATGTTGAGGAAGAAAGGGAGGCGGTAATTTCATGCACTGGCCAGGGAGGTATACCATCTTTTAGGAGTGAAGAAGAGCAGAATTTAAGTGTGGTGGAGGTAAGTGAGGTATTACGTAGAATGAAAGGGGGTAAAGCAGCTAGAACTGATGGGATCATGACAGAAATGTTAAAAGCAGGGGGGGATATAGTGTTGGAGTGGTTGGTACTTTTGTTTAATAAATGTATGAAAGAGAGGAAGGTACCTAGGGATTGGCGGAGAGCATGTATAATCCCTTTATATAAAGGGAAAGGGGACAAAAGAGATTGTAAAAATTACAGAGGAATAAGTTTACTAAGTATACCAGGAAAAGTATACGGTAGGGTTATAATTGAAAGAATTAGAGGCAAGACAGAATGTAGGATTGCGGATGAGCAGGGAGGCTTCAGAGTGGGTAGGGGATGTGTAGATCAAGTGTTTACATTGAAGCATATATGTGAACAGTATTTAGATAAAGGTAGGGAAGTTTTTATTGCATTTATGGATTTAGAAAAGGCATATGATAGAGTGGATAGAGGAGCAATGTGGCAGATGTTACAAGTACAGTGGACCCCCGCATAACGATGGCATCACATAGCGATTTTTCCGCATACCGATTACTTTTATCGCAAAATTTTTGCCGTGCATACCGATTAAAAACCCGCTTACCGATTTTCGTCCGAGACGCGTCCAATGTGCCCTCACATGTGCCGGCCGTCCCATTGTTTACCAGCCAGCCTCCGCGGTAACATCCAAGCATACACTCGGAATATTTCGTATTATTACAGTGTTTTCGGTGCTGTTTCTGGAAAATAAGTGACCATGGGCCCCAAGAAAGCTTCTAGTGCCAACCCTGTGGTAAAAAGGGTGAGAATTAGTATGGAAATTAAGAAAGATTTTGAAGGGTTTGGGGCTAACCTGAGAAGCCTATGCCAGTTGTGGAATCCATTGTGCCTACTTCAAAGATTAAGGAAATGTGTGCACAGTGGGTTGAACTGCAAACCTTTATAGATGAAAATCACCCTGACACAGCTGTTGCAAGCCGTGCTGGTGACTATTTCAATGACAATGTTATGGCCCATTTTAGGAAAGTCTTGAAGGAACGGGAGGTACAGAGCTCTATGGACAGATTTGTTGTGCGACAGAGGTCCAGTGACTCTCAAGCTGGTCCTAGTGGCATTAAAAGAAGAAGGGAAGTAACCCCAGAAAAGGACTTGCTACCTCAAGTCCTAATGGAAGGGGAGTCCCCTTCTAAACAGTAAGAAGATAATGCTCTCCCCTCCTCCCATCCCATCAATCATCACCAGATCTTCAATAAAAGTAAGTGTCATTTAATTGTGCATGCCTTTTTCAGTTTGTGTGTATTAAAATTAACATTTCATGTGGTAAAAAAAATTTTTTTTCATACTTTTGGGCGTCTTGCACGGATTAATTTTATTTCCATTATTTCTTATGGGGAAAATTCATTCGCATAACGATTATTTCGCATAACGATGAGCCCTCTTGCACGGATTAAAATCGTTAACCGGGGGTCCACTGTATATGGAATAGGTGGTAAGTTACTAAATGCTGTTAAGAGTTTTTATGAGGATAGTGAGGCTCAGGTTAGGGTGTGTAGAAGAGAGGGAGAATACTTCCCGGTAAAAGTAGGTCTTAGACAGGGATGTGTAATGTCACCATGGTTGTTTAATATATTTATAGATGGGGTTGTAAAAGAAGTAAATGCTAGGGTGTTCGGGAGAGGGGTGGGATTAAATTATGGGGAATCAAATTCAAAATGGGAATTGACACAGTTACTTTTTGCTCATGATACTGTGCTTATGGGAGATTCTAAAGAAAAATTGCGAAGGTTAGTGGATGAGTTTGGGAATGTGTGAAAAGGTAGAAAGTTGAAAGTGAACATAGAAAAGAGTAAGGCGATGAGGGTATCAAATGATTTAGATGAAGAAAAATTGGATATCAAATTGGGGAGGAGGAGTATGGAAGAAGTGAATGTTTTCAGATACTTGGGAGTTGACGTGTTAGCGGATGGATTTATGAAGGATGAGGTTAATCATAGAACTGATGAAGGAAAAAGGGTGAGTGGTGCGTTGAGGTATATGTGGAGTCAAAAAACGCTATCTATGGAGGCAAAGAAGGGAATGTATGAAAGTAGTAGTACCAACACTCTTATATGGATGTGAAGCTTGGGTGGTAAATGCAGCAGCAAGGAGATGGTTGGAGGCAGTGGAGATGTCCTGTCTAAGGGCAATGTGTGGTGTAAATATTATGCAGAAAATTCGGAGTGTGGAAATTAGGAGGTGTGGAGTTAATAAAAGCATTAGTCAGAGGGCAGAAGAGGGGTTGTTGAGGTGATTTGGTCATTTAGAGAGAATGGATCAAAGTAGAATGACATGGAAAGCATATAAATCTATAGGGGAAGGAAGGAAGGAGGGGTAGGGGTCATCCTCAAAAGGGTTGGAGAGAGGGGGTAAAGGAGGTTTTGTGGGCGAGGGGCTTGGGCTTCCAGCAAGCGTGTGCGAGCGTGTTAGATAGGAGTGAATGGAGACGAATGATACTTGGGACCTGACGATCTGTTGGAGTGTGAGCAGGATAATATTTAGTTAAGGGATTCAGGGAAACCGGTTATTTTCATATAGTCGGACTTGAGTCCTGGAAATGGGAAGTACAATGCCTGCACTTTAAAGGAGGGGTTTGGGATATTGGCAGTTTGGAGGGATATGTTGTGTATCTTTATACGTATATGCTTCTAAACTGTTGTATTCTGAGCACCTCTGCAAAAACAGTGATAATGTGTGAGTGTGGTGAAAGTGTTGAATGATGATGAAAGCATTTTCTTTTTGGGGATTTTCTTTCTTTTTTGGGTCACCCTGCCTTGGTGGGAGATGGCCGACTTGTTGAAAAAAAAAAAAAATATTATATGTGGAAAATGATGATATATGGAATCATAATTGACTTCATGTATATTCATTTTATACAATTTCTTAGTGTAAAATGTATCTTAAAGTCTTTTCTTGTACAGTATCCTGAGATCTGTAATTAGAAACCTTTTTCAACAACACAAAATAGGTTAGGTTAGGGTAAGTTACATAAACCCATAAAACAAGAAAAAAAAATTATTACAAATAAACCCCCCAAAAATGGAGGATGTCAGGCAGTGTAGCATCTCGGCAAAGCCAGCCTACATTAATATAAGCATGCATGACATGTGTGGTATGAGGCTGGGTTAAAGCATCAACAGCATTAGCTCTGATCTCTCATACATGTTTCCACATTTTCATTTTGTAAGTCTACATTTATTTAAAAATTCAGCCCAGTTACAAATTTGCAGTTACTATATTTCAAATACAATGCTTCCTTGACAGGAAAGGAGGAGGCAACTAAACCCATTGGACCAATTAATATGAGAGAATGAGAGGTAATTACGATTGATCCAGTTCCTGGGATTAACTCTTAAACTGTCCTAACGTAGATCTATGTTTGCAAGCGTAGGGCTCCGAACGTAGATCTACGTTCAATTTTACATTGTTTCTTATGTAAAAAAAAAAAAAAGTAGATCTACATTCGAATTGCTATGCGTGCAAACGTAGATCTACGTTTGGATAGTTTAAGGGTTAAGAGCCCCCTCACTGTCATTAAGGACAATACCATTACAAGGAAATACCATTATAACAATGCAATAGTAAACAATATCATGGTACAGGTTGACCATCACTAATCCGGCATCATTGGGACCTGTAGTGTGCCGGATTAGAGAGTTTGCTGGATTACAGAGTGGTTAGGTTAGAATACACTTAACCTATCAGCAGAGACTTTCTGCTACATCTTCCTCATTTTCATCAATGCTTTCTCCTCCACTGGCTTGCTGCTGTGGATTTATAACCATCTGCACACTTTCTGAGTCAGTGTAATGATGAAATTTGAAATTATGCTAGCCGAAAATTAGTGCCGGATTACAGATGGAACCAAATAACTGATTGCCAGATTACACTGATGGCCAACCTGTACAGTTTTTTTTTTTTAAATAGTGCCTTATGACTGGTAATAAAGGATTTGGTACTCTACTTAAAAATTATGTTTTTACAGAATATAATTAGTGTATTACACAACAACTTACCACATCTGGGCCAAGCTTGCCAATATGATAGGAAGGCAAAAAGAGAGAGTTGCCCAAACCAGTATTGCGAAATGCAGCAGCATGAAGTAAGTCAATGGCAATGGTAGATGGGTCTCTAACGGCAAGTTCTGCCTTGATTCGCTGAATATTGTCCTTCAATTCCCATGGTTTGAAGACCGGCTGTGTACCCACCTCACCAAGGATTTGGAGTGCAGTATCCCTGGAATAGTTTACTTTTGTGTACTTTCTTTCGCTTAGACAACTCTTAGGTAACGTTCTGATGCATTATTCACTAAACATATGGACCGGACCATAACTAATTCTCCCAAATTTACAAGAATTTAGGGATTTGCAAATTTCATGCATGAAACTAATATGAAAAATAAGTGCTTATACACACAAGACACCAGCTTTTATTTTTTATACATACAGTATATGTCTTTTTTTTTTTTTTTAACACACTGGCCATCTCCTACCGAGGCAAGGTGACCCAAAAAAAAGAAAAACTTTCACCATCATTCACACAATCACTGTGTTTGCAGAGGTGCCCAGATAAGACAATTCAGATGTCACTCCAAACAGCCAATATCTGAAACTCCTCCTTTAAAGTGCAGGCACTGTACTTCCCACCTTCAGGACATTAAGTCTGACTAACTGGTTTCCCTGAATCCCTTCACAAAATATTACCAAGCTCACACTCCAAAAGCTCATCAGGTCCCAAAAACCATTTGTCTCCATTTACTCCTATCTAACATGCTCACACATGCCTCCTCCATGTCAAGGTCCCTTGCACACAAAACCTCTTTTACCCTCTCCTTGCATCCTTTCCTAGGATGATCCCTACCCTCCTCCCCTCCACTACCAATTTATACACCCTCCAAGTCACTCTTGCTCCATCCTCTCAAAGTGTTCGAACCACCTCAATAACACCTCTTCAGCCCTCTGAATAAAACTTTTTGTAACCCCACACCACCACCTAATTTCCACACTACGAATTCTCTGCATAATGCTTACACCACACATTGCCCTAAGACATGACACTTCCACTGCCTTCAGCCCCCTCCTCCTCGCTGCAGCATTCACAACCCATTCTTTCATCACACCCTTTACCTCATCATTCTACCTATCACTCCTCTTTCCTCGTGTACCCACCTTCCTATAGCCACAAACTTCTGCCCTGCATTCTAATACTGCATTTTTAAAACTATCCCATCCCTCTTCAACCCCCACACTACCTATACTCTCACTAGCCGACCTTTCTCTTAAAAGCTGCTTATTTTTATTTTATTATCACACTGGCCGATTCCCACCAAGGCAGGGTGGCCCGAAAAAGAAAAACTTTCTTTTTTGGGCTGCTTATATCTTACCCTAACTTCCTCCTTCCTTAGTTTATAAACTTTCACCTCTCTTACTTGCTGTTGCCATTTTCCTTTTGTCCCATCTGCCTCTTATGGCTGGTCTGCTGAAAGAAGAATATCTGTTGCCCCTCTATAAACATGCACATCCTGAAGTCTACCCATCAACCTTTTATCCACTAATACATAATCTAACAAACTACTTTCATTACATCCTGTATCATATCTTGTACAGTGGAACCTCCACTTGTGAGTGCATCCATGTGTGAGTTTTTCCAAATACAAGCGGTCGATCAGTCAATTTTTTGCTTCCATATGTAAGTGAAATTTCCATAAGCGAGCGGGCCTCAAAGGAGGTTCTTTGACGCTGGTGAGGGGCTCTTGCTCTTGATCTAGAGAATTGGATCTCATTTGTTTGTTGGGCTATCTTATTGAAACTTGGGAAATGTATGATGGAAAGATGCTTCTTAACGTACACCAAAAATGAAAGAAATTGGACCATAAATAATGGAGTTCACTTCTCAGCAATTAGCTGCCCCTTAGCCATATTTTCATATGGTTTTTATGGTTGTATTCTCGTTTTTTTGGTCTCATTTGATAGAATAGAAGATATATTACAGAAATAGAAATGATTCTGAATGGTTTCATGACAAGAAGTACCTTGAAAATGAGCTCAAAATAACAGAAATGTTCTATTTTTGCATTCCAATATGCAGTCATGAATAGACTGACATTTATACAACTATTATAATAATGCAGCAGTCTGCATAACAGTAAATCTTCTATTCTTTGTGTGAATAAAAATTCCAAATTATTTATACTGTAATCATAATAATAATAATAATAATAATAATAATAATTAGTATAACATAATACGTATAATAATAATATGTACAATAATAATGTACTATATAATAATAATTATAATAATAGACGGCTTCAAAAGGCTTTCACAAAATGGCAGTGTTTACCACAACTATGCTGAAGCGGTTATGGCCGTCTCCAATTGTCACATAATGACATATTTTACTCATTCTAGAGTATATATCAGGTTTCTTTGTTATTTATATTGTTTATTATGTCATATTAGATGAACTATGATAGATAAATAAGCCGAAGAGTTGATGATAGCGAAATATTCAAGGAGTATTTTGTCCTGTCTCCAGACAAACTCTCGTCGGCTGTCGACACCGCCACATATATAATGACATTTTATTCATTCTTAAGTATATATCAGGTGTATGTTATTTACAGTAGACCCCCAACCAACAAAGGCATTGTCTAACGAAAAAAATCACCAATGAAGAGTTTTGGCTAAAACCAACGATGAAAAAACCACTAACAACATTCCCCTGAATGTGTGGGCCCCTTCCCGTCCGGGCTAGGCGCGCCTTGCTCCCCTGTCTTCACTAGTTGCCGGGGGTTTACAAGCCAGGGTGGCCCCCCGGTTTTCCCAACGCATACATGGGATATTGAATTTTTTTATTTTTTCCCAAATTTTTTTTTTAGTGGGGAACTGAAAATAAGCCCCCAAAGGGGCCCAAAAGAAAGCTTCTAGGGGCCAAACCCCCTGGGGAAAAAAAAGGGTGAGAATACTTTTGTACCAGGGTTTCAGTGTTGCTGCCCACTGTCGGGATGCTACTGAAACCACCATCACTGCTGCTTTACCACCATCAGCTGCTCCCTGTACCACCGTCAGCTGCTGCTTACCCCCGTCAGCCTGCTGAACCACGATCAGTGTTTGAAACCACCGTCAGCTTTTACTAGAAGATTTTGGGTGGTGTTGTTGGTGGGGCCCTTAAGGGAGAAACAGTTACTGAAAAAACAATTAACCCCAGGGGGTTACCCCATTGGATAACCCAAAAAATAGTGCATCACGAGGACTAAACTTTTTTCCTTTGGGAGTCCAAAATCTTGTCCCCCAGGATGCGCCCCCACACCAGTCGACTAAAAACCCAGGTGAACGGGAAAAAAAATGCCTGGAATAGTGCATGGACACTGCATATTCCAAGCGAAAATAAACTAAGCCCTTCCGGGGGGCCCACGGGAAAAGAATATGATGCTCAATGGGGTTGTTTCCCTTTCCCTAAAAAGATAGGGTTTGGAGGGAATGACTCGTCAAACCCGGGCCTGAAAAAAAATTTGCCAGGGAAGACTAAAGGATGGTAACTTCTTCAGGATGAGGGAAATAGATGAAACCTTTATTCCAAGTGGAATTTTCAAAACCCAATGGGAAAAAATTGGGGGAAAAAATTGAAATTAGGGGAAGAGTTTAAAACCACCCTACTCAACGGGGAAAAAAGGGTTGGGAGAGCTCATGTTCAAGACCCCACAACGTTTTTGTTACACAACAGAAAGGGAAAAAATGTGATGGAAAAGGAAAACCTTCAAAAAAAGGTCCCAACCCAAATTGGGGCCCCTCTTTCAAAAAATGAAAGGGTAAAACTACAACCTGGGGAATTTTACAGAGAACTTTTTGCTACACATAAAAATTTTCAGTAAAGCCCCAAAAATAACTGAAAATTTTTTAAAGGGCCCTTTAAACCTGTACTCCTTAAAACCCCATGCAATAAAAAACTTTAAAAACTTACCCCGGAAAAAATCCTATAGGGACTGGCCCCCAAATTTTCACAAAAAATCACTATGAAAGAAAGGCCTTCACAACAGTTTAATATCCCCCTCCCCCAACAAAAAGCAGGGGGGGTTTTTAGAAACACAAAGAAACACAAAAAGGAAAAGGGTTCCAAGATTTTTTCTGTTGGTAATCCTCATGGATAAAGATCCAAAAGGATTACCAACAGAATTTTGTTGCCCTCAAAAGGGTACTTGATTAGTCGGCTGGGTTTTCTTTATTTCAGATGATGGGGCCCAACCAGTATAGGCCTTGATCCCCCCAAGGATGCAAGTCGGGAAAGAGGCTTTTAGGGGGGCATTACCCCTGAAGACACCCTTTCAGGTACCCTTTCACATCTTTATAGACAAAGTGACAGTAAAATATTTTAAAGGGGTAAAAGGGGAAAAGAAACGGACCCAAACCTTTGGGACCAAGTTTTTTATTTTTCATGAAGTACTGACAGATTTTTTTCTAATTTGGAAGCCAATTAAAATTTTTTAAAAAAGCCCCTGGAGAAGAAATTCTCTAGTGCTGGCAATAAAACCCAACAAAAATTTAAACAAAAATTTAAACCCCTTTTCAGGGCCCCCCCGGCCCCTGAGACTTGTTCTGGGGGTCGCCAAATAAAAAAAAAAAAAAAAAAAAAATTCCCTTTCTGAAAAGATAGAAATTTCTTTTCCCAATCATAATGCCCCAAAAAAAAGTTAAATTTGATGGAAAAATTATGGAATTATGCTCCCAAAATTTTTGGGGCCCTAAACGATGTTTACCCCTTTCAGAGTTTTTCCCCAATTTGACCCCTATTTTGGGCCCAATTTCCCGGGGTTACAAGTCGAAAAAAACCCAAAAACTTTTCGCTAAAAACTCCATTTTTTCAAATCGAATGAGTACAAAAACCCCCCCTTTTACCGATTTCAGTTTCCAATAAAGTGGTCAGAATTTAGAAATTTTTGGGCCAATTTCACACAAATTTAAAAAAGACCCAAATTCCCAAAATAGGGTCCGAATAAACAAAAAAGGGAAATTCCTGGCACAAAATAACAATTTCTTTTTTTCGTTAGTCATCTCCGGGCCCCCCTTACATTTTTTTGGCTTTCCATTTTAAATTTTTTTTCTAAAAAAAAATAGAAGATTTACTGTTATGCGACTACTGAAATTGTGAAAAAAATGGTATAAAAATATCAGTGAAACTTTTAAAAAGGAATTTTGCCCAACCGGGTTTGCTGTATTGGCCCCGAAAAATAGCTTTAA